TATTGTTCCAGGGTTTAAGATCGAAACTGCACTTAGTTGTCTTAGCCTCCAACGAAGATGCTCATGACCGGTGGGAGAACACCACGACTCTTCTACCATCTGATTACACATCGGCTCCCGAAGCCACATCTGCTCAAATTTGAAAATTTTCCTCCGTCTACCTTTCTTCCGAACAGGTCTAGAAATTTGATGGGACTATGATCCAAATGTTGCCAAACCAAATGCTCTATAGTAAACCAAGAAAACAATGAAACCCACTCACACTACCAACAAGTCTGTCAAGCCTTTCTTGTATATTATTTGCTCCCCTTTGCCCGTTGTTTCAAGTAAATGGGTACCCAAAAAATCCCAAATAATCCAAATTACACAATTCCAGAGCTGCCCGAAAATTAACCATTTACCTCGCATCTTTCCTTCTACCTCCTTGCTTCTCAGCCTGGAATAAGACTTCATTGAAATCGCCCCCTACCACCCAAAGCATCTTCGATTATCTTTCAAGACTTGTAGAAGATCCCAAGAAAGAGCCAGATTAGAAGCCTCAGGCCAACCATAGAACCCTGTATATCGCCATTGTTGGTTGATCTCTATATCAATATGGTGTTGTAAATAAGAAATCAACAACACATCCATGTTCTCACTCCACGTAAGACTCAGCCCCCTTTTCCTATCCTCAGCAAAATCACATGAAACATCAATACCATTCGAAAAGCCACAGTTACCTCTAACATTTCACATTTCAATTTACGTTAATTTTATTTCCATGAGAAATACGAAATCAGGACCTTCAAGCTACAGCAACTTTCTCAGATGATGAATTGCATGGGGGTTCCCAAGCCACCTATACTTCTAGATCAATAAAGTGATGGCATCCGGCAGGGTTGTGTAGCAACCTCGGCCGATATGTCAACATTTGAATCAGTATCAACCACACTCACACCTCTGTACCTTTTCTGACAGACACCACCTTACTCTGAATCAATCTCCATATCCATTCGTTAGTATTCAACTTATGCTTTCCTTGCAAGCCGGTCAAACAAACCTCAGTCACCTTAGGACGGACTCGTCGAGCTTTTCGTTTCCATGAAGAGAGAGCAGGAGATAGTGGTTTCGGGAGGGACAATGGTTGATTATCCGCTAAATTACAAGAAGGCTGGTGAGTATAAGAAGTTTGTTTTGTCTTAGGAGAAAGGCTTGATCTAAGCTCAGAATTCATATTCACACACAACTGAGCTTCTAGTCGAGATACAGGGCTAACAATATTATCAACTAGTTGAAAACCGCGCACATGAGTATTTAAATATTATTTTATTAATTATTATAGTTGATTATATTATTATTTTTTATAAACTATTACACATTGTCAAATTCTTAGTTAGAACAATTAAAAATAATAATTGAAATAATTAATAATGGTTCAAAATGATTTGTAATAAAACGACTATAACATTGTTTGCAATAGCATAATCTTGTAAATCTATAATATTGTAATCAGGTTTCTTTATCAAAATAACCCCACAGTGGAAGAAGTACCATATGCTGAAATTTGCAAAAGATGATTGAAAAAACTTGGTAAATTTCATTATTAAAGATATTTAGATACTTGGAATTAATTTTAAATAATAAAAAGGGAGAATCTAGGAAATAAAATTATGTAGAAGAAATTTTCAAATATGAGAAATACATAACCGGGTAATTATACAAATATAAAAATGAAACTTAAATTATATTGGATTTGATGAAAAAAAAAATAGATATTGAAATTTTTATTGAAAATTATAAATTCATGTTTTACATTGATTTTACAGAAAACAAACAATGCAATAATGCAAAGGTTTTGCTAGGGATGATTTGTTCAGCAAATCATTTTAGTTATTTTCTATTATATCTAGTTATTTTCTATTAACATTAAATAAATTTAAAAAATAGATTAACCAATTAAAATATATAGATAAATGAAAGAATAATTTTTATTTTTATATATAAATGAAGGAATAATTTTTATTTTTTTAGATATAGGATGCAAATAGATTTATAATTAGATAAAAATTATCTAGTTGTTTAATAATATGTTATTATAGATCGTAAATAGATATGTAGGTAGACTTATACTTAAATATTAACACTTACCTGATTATTTTCTATTGATATTAAATAAATTTAAAAAATAAATTATTCAATATATCTAGTTATTTTCTATTAACATTTAAATAAATTTAAAAAATAGATTAACCAATTAAAATATATAGATAAATGAAAGAATTTAAATTTTTTATTTTTATATATAAATGAAGGAATAATTTTTATTTTATTTTTAGATATAGGATGCCAAATTAAGAGTTTAGTAATAGATAAAAATTATCTAGTTGTTTAATAATATGTTATTATTAGATCGTAAATTAGATATTGTAGGGTGACTTATACTTTAAAAATATTAAACACTTACCTTGGATCTATTTTCTATTGATATTAAATAATATTTTAAAAAAATAAATTAATAGACTTAAATTATTATAGAATCTAATCAAACAAATAATATTTAATTTTAATTAGATATAAAAAGCGCGTCAGTAGTAACCCAAAAAAAAAAGAAAGCATACTAATAAAAATAAAGTTCTACTTTAATAAATATGTTATTTAGTGTATATATATATATATATATATATATATATTATTATATATATATATATATATATAATTATATTAAGGAATTGGCTAAGTTAGTTGGCATTCCCCCACCACGAAACCAAAACACCCAAAAGTCATTTTTTTTTTTCTTTGCTTAAAAATTTGCTTGAATGTAGATAGGATGTAACAGACTTGAAGTTAAAATACTAACCACATGAATTACAAAAAAAAAAAAAAAATACAAAAAAAAAAAAAAATAGTAATTATATAGTTATTTTCTTTTAATATTAAATAAATTCTAGAAAATAAGTTTATCAATTACAAATATAAATAAATGGAGAACTAAATTTTAATTAGCATATAGATATATTTTTTATATCGAAAATAATTATAAAGTGCAGTAATATGGATTAAAATAAATTGAGTAAAGATGCAACTACTAAGTTTTTTTTTTATCTTCGTCATCCTCGTGTCTTGATGTTTGTTGGTTGTTTACTGTAAGTTTTTATACTATACATAACCTTATTATGATCAGCTTTAATTGTCTCATTCCTTCTTGCCTTAATGTCTCAAGATTACCAAAATCTCAGGACCAAAATTTACTATCAGTAAATGAAACCAAAATTGAAAGAGTAACAAATAATAAAATAAAAATTTTAAATTGTAAAAGTAGAAGATAAAAATAAAGAACTCATAAAAGTAAAAAAAAAAAAAAAATATTAAACTGCAAAAACAGATGATAATAAAATATTGAATTGCAAAAGAAAAAGAAAAAACAAGTAAATATCTCGAAACCAAACCAAAATACGAAGAACTCATAAAAATATAGTTATACGCTTGAATATATATATAGAGGTTTACGGCTATGGATAAGAAAAAACTTAAAAATTTGTAAATCTATAATTATCTATATATAAATTTAAAATTTTAGTTGAATTAAATTAAGTGGGTAAATGAGGTTAGATTTAAAAATTATCACTAATTAAAAATAAGATAAAATTTTCAATTAAATAAAAAAATAAGAAAAAAACTTAAAACTTTTTTTAAAAAAATAGAATATTAAATAAATTGAATACAGTTAAAATTTCTCTTCATTTCTGCTTTTATATATTTCTGCTTTTATATATATATATATATAATATATATAATATATAGTATATATATATATATATATTCTATAGGTTGGGGAATGGTCAAGGTACGTGGACATTGATTTGAGTACGTACTTGGGCTTGTTGATATATTCTATGAGGTTGGGGAATGTCAGGTACGGTGGAAATTGATTGAGTACGTACTTGGGCTTGTTGGGTAATTATGGGGAATATATATACGATTTGATTATGTCCACATTTGATTGATACAACTACTTAACCTTTTATCATTTTATATTCAATATAATCCGGCTCTAGTTTTTGACATTTATGTCCACATTATCCTTTAATTTATTTTTATTTCTATCAATTACTATTTTTTAATTTTAATAAAAAATCATCTTTGTTATTTTTATTCAGTGAATACTTTCTTATTATATAATAAATCAATTTTATAAATTATTATAAATTTCTTTTTCAATTTTTAGATTTATGAATTTTGATGAAAAGAACGTGATTACAGAAAAAAAAAATCAAATAGAAGTAAATATTTAACTAATTATTAATTATTTTTATAATTTTATTTATTTTTTAAAATAATGACAAAAATCACTCTTAGTAAATAATAAAAAAAATTATAAATCAAATAACAAGTACATATAATTCACATTCTTAAATAGCAGTAAATTATAAGTGAAAGGATTATAATGCGTTCATCCCTCAATAATCACTGGCGGAATAATTAAGAAAATAAAAAGAATAGTTACAAAACCACCGTAAAGCCTAATACACACGTTAACATTCCCTTTCATTGCCACGTGGATGCACAAGTGTCGCTTCCATCGCAACTATATGTATTCAACTCCCATTCACCTACAGGAAGCAGTCGGTCAGGCAAAGTCTAATGATATTTATGTAACTAAGTTCAGTTTTTTTATTTTTAAATTAAAAAATCATATATTTTTGCTATTTTTTAAAAGAAAATAAGTATTGCTGAGAAATCAGTTTATTTTAAATGCTTGTAACATTCGTGATTTTTAAAAGTAATAAATATTTTTTTCATATTTATTTTTTTATATATAATCAATAATTATAATTTCAATTTAATGATTTTATTAGGAAATTATTATTAAATTAAAAATAATATAATTTATTTATTTAATAATTTATTATAACTTAGATGAATTTAAAATTTTTTTTGAAGGACATGAAATTACAAATATGATAAATCTACGAAACAAAGGTAGTATTTATCTTTTCTCTTTATATTCCTATTTTTATCACTCTTCATATAGATATTATTTAAAGGAGGCATTTTTATTGAGAGAGAGAGAGAGAAGAGAGGTGAGGGAAAAATGTCAAGTGTAGGAGCACAGGTAGAACCCCATGAGAAGATGAGAGCAAGAGATGTAAATAAGGTGGCAAGAGGAGAACAAGCTCCCAAGCCTCCCCATCAATATGGTCATATTGACAAGACTCCTTCCCCTCCAATCCACAATAAATACCCCCATCAAATAAATAACAAGGTACTTTTATTTTTTAATTTCTATGCATATTTTCCTGTTTTGCTAAGTGGACTCAACTAGAAATTAGCTTCTATCTATCTATTAATCAAATTGTTAGATTCAAAAAAAAAAAAAAATGAAGAGGAGGAAAGAAGATAATTAATTAGTAAATTACTATCATAATATTAATTAATTAATTTGAGATTTATTTGATGTTGCTATTCATAATTAACTTTACAAGTTAGTTTCATTATTTGCTAAAATTTCTTAATTCAGGTTGATTTTAGTTGTTATAGCACTTGAATTAGTTGGCTCTGATAAGTTATTATTTTTTTAAGGGTACAATTGTCATCATTTTGCTATATATGTTTCATTGATGTTTCTTTTATTAAATATTTAAAATATTTTTTGATAAAATATCTTAATATATTAATTTATCAAATTATTATTAAAAATTGGAAGGGTAGAAGTGCAGTCGTCAATAGTTTAGAATCCATGATGGGAAGATGTGCGATGTGGATTTACTTAACTAAAAGGTTAGTACTAACTTATTATTAGATAGTTAATTAGTTTGTCACCCTTGTATGCCCTTTGTTTATTTGATATGTAGTTAACGGGGTATTTTAGTTTTATTTAAATACATTCTTAAAAAAATTATTTTCAATACATTAATAATGTTCCCCTATTGTTTGAAATTCTAATATGATTCTACGTTTTAGAAGATCTTGGATATCAATTTAATTTAATCAATTTACTTTTTTGAATGGTACTTGATCAATTTATTGGGAATTAATTAAACAATGAGCTGAATTTTATTATATACATATAGGAGAATGAAGAGGAAGGATGGGTAGAGGCAGGAACAGCGCCGGCGGATGTACGTTTTCCGACCACGAACCAAACACGACACTGCTACACCCGATACCTTGAGTACCACAAGTCAGTATCTTTTATTTTGTATTATCATTATTATTCTTAATTTTTTATAATCATTAATTAGCAAACTCAATTAATTAATTTTAAAAGCTAAATTTATTTATCTATTGACCTGGATGTAATAATTATTAGATTATTAAGATCTTTTAAATTAATATAATAATAATTAATCGCCATTAATTTGTTGATTAGGTGCATCAAAGAGAAGGGCAAAGATGCTACTGAGTGTGAGAAGTTTGCAAAGTATTATCGCTCGTTTTGTCCAGATGAATGGGTGAGGAATTAAGGTAATGAAATGGTGTTACAAGCTCTGGATATTATATATAGTTTGGGTATAATTAATGCTAATATTTGATTTCTTTTAATATAAATATAAATTTAATAAATTATAAAATATGATTTTTATATAAGGTTGAGGTTATAATCGCTAAATTCTAAATTTTTTACTTTTTTTATTTTCAATTAACTTTAAATCCGTTTCTATCTTTTTTTTTTTTTTTTAATTTCTGTATTCCGTTCTATCTTTTTTTTTTTTTTTTTTTTAATTTTTTTTTTTTTTTTAATTTCTGTGTGCAGATTGAAAGGTGGAATGACCAGAGAGAAAATGGAACTTTTGCCGGGCCAATTTAGGAATTTAAAATAATATATATAAGAGAAAGAAGAGAGAGGGAGAGATTAGTGAAATTAATTTTTCGTGTCTATTTAGTATGGTCCAAGATTTATTCTTGTTTAGTAACTTTTTTTTTTTCTTTACCTCAAAAATATAATTATGATTTCCATTCCAGCATATTACGATGATGGTATATAGTTATTAGTGCTGTGTATTTTTTTATATTGAAGACGGTATTTGGTTAAAATTTTTAGTATTAAGTAACATAACGTTCGAACAATTACCGACCATTCGAACAGCTAAACTGTTACTAAAAAGATAACAAAACAGTTAATTTTATCGAACAAGCTCGAAGCATTAATGATAATACAATAATGGCTTATCTTTTCCTTCTTTTCTTTTTTATAAATAAGGAGAATATAGCTCATAATAATTACTTATATATATATATATATATATATGTGTATCCTTTTTTTCATTATTTTTGGTAAGCAAAATTCACACATAATGTTAAAAAAGTTAAAAAGTGTATTTGATATAAGTAGACTTCCATGTGAATTTTGCTTTCGTAATAATGCTTGATTCTATAAAGTTTTATTCTCTCAAGAAATTGGCCTAAAAAATTGGCCAATTTATTGAATTTGAATAATCCAATAAAAGGATTGGCGATCTCTTCTATTCAATTTTAACCGAAAAGTTCCATTGACAAAAAAAAAAAAAAAAAAAAAAAAAAAAAAAAAAAAGGAGCAATGAATTACATTCGAATCAATAAGATCCTTAAATGTACAAACAGGCAAAAAAAAAAAAAAAAAAAAAAAAGGAGCAATGAATTACATTCGAATCAATAAGATCCTTAAATGTACAAACAGGCAGGCCCCAAGAGTTTGAAGTTGGAAAAACGGAAGTCTCAAAAGTCTCCCAGCATACAGATCAGATTTAGGCCACGGAATCTCTTCAATTGGTATTTCTTCACATTTCTAGCTTATTCGGAAAATTGTTTATTCCGTCCTGCAAGCTGTACAAGGGCACTGTAAATGTGAAAAACCGCATACAACAACAACAACAAACCTCAAGAAGAAGCTGCCTCTAATTGACGCGAGAAGTCCGAGGAAGAATGTCACTCAGTAATACAGCTTCTCTTGGGCTCTGTCCCATCATCCATATCTTGAAACCTGGAGGAAAGTAATCGGCATCGTTCCAACGTTTCAAAGAATTAATTGAGAATGGACCTTGTACTTCTCCCTGGGGATCCGTGTAATACCATACATAACTTGCCAGGTCATAATGAAGAGCCTCGGAGACATTTGAATCTTCATTTTCATCATCATCATCATCATCACTCAAATCAATCACTTGGACATTTATTCCGCCTCGAGAATGCTGTTGTGTATTCATAGGCTGCGTCTTATCATTGCTACCGCAAGATATCTCTGTTGGTTGCTTTTGTGGAGCATCAAGCTGACAATCTGTAACAAAGTTATAAGATGTCAGTGAAATAAAGAATCAAGGAGTTATCATTTTATTGAAGGATGATTGAATCCATTTCTACATTCTAGATCTTGTTCTTTTTAGAACAAAGCAAATCACTAGGAAATCCATCCCACCTCGAGAATGCTCTTGTGCATTCACAGGCTGCAATTTGCAATTGCTATCGCAAGATATATCAGTTGGTTGCTTTTGCTGAGCATTGAGCCGACAATCTGTAACAAAGCTACAAGAAGTCAATAAAATAAAGAATCAAGGAGTTGTCATGTTATTGAAAGATTGAAACATATTGCAGTATGTGTAAACTCTCTTTCAAGATTTTAGGGCTTATTCTTTGCAGAACAAAGCAATCGAATGGATATCCATCTCACCTTGAGAATGCTCTTGAGCATTCATAGGTTGCATTTTACTATTGCTGTCACAAAATACTTCATTTGGTTGCTTTTCCTGAGCATCAAGCCAATAATCTGTAACAAAGTCACAAGATGTCAGTGAAATAAAGAATCAATGATTTCTCATCCGAGAATCACTTATTTTTGCTGTTCAAATTCGGGTTCAGGTTGGTTTAAATATGGTTCCGACTTCACACAAAAATAATCCAAACCTCTGACTAACCTAATCTGACCCAAATGGTTTAATGACAATCAACATAATTCGGGAAGGGCCAAATACATGTTGGTCGGATTGGGTCAAACATGTACATATTAACATGAGGCAAATATCGAACTAGTTCCAATTGTTTTATCAGATTCTGTATATCTAATGAAATAGAATTAAACTTAAAAACTCATTTGAGAAATTTGAAGTTCTAATATCTATGTATCAATTTATATAATAGTAACCAAGCAAAGTAGGCAAATCTCCAAGAAAAACCAGATTTCAAACCTTATCATTAACCATTAAGACAAAAGATATCAGAATAAATAACTAAGAAATAAATTTTTAAAAAAATGCAGAAAAAGCTTATCAGCATAAATTATAGATAAAACATTATTTCTACCTAACATAAAAAATCAATGACTGCAATATGGGTTTCAAGAATTTAATTGAAGAAACATATTTGACAAGAATAGAAAAAGTAAAATTAAGAGAAGCCTTCAGAGCTTAATGTTTTACAGTTAGGGAAAAAACATTCACAACTACTTCTGGTAACTGAAGCTGTGTTTTAGGTAATAGTTTTTTGAAAGAGTGGATCGGGAGTCACTTGCGGTACAGACAATGAAACAAGTATCACTTCTGGTACAGACAATAAAACAAGTTTCAACTGAAAACGCGTCACTTCACAAAGAATCTGACCCGTTTTTACATAGAATGATGCAAAACTGCAAATTAAGTGTTAATTTTTCAGTTGGATCAGGTAATCCGGGTGAATAGAATATTTTTGAACATCCCTGGTATAAATTCCATTTCAAAATTCTTGTTAGCTGCAGAACAAAGTGATAAAACATATGAAACAGAAGAAATGCATGTCATTGTAGAGGTAACCCAAAGGGCCAGTTCTGAAGCAGACAAGAAGCCTCAAAAGGGGTAGATTGTTTCCAACTCCAGTTCCGGTATCATGGGGACTCTATGCTGGGTTTAGAAACAGGCTAAATTCAAGTTTTTTGCCTTTTATTTTTAATACTTTATGCTTGAACCAGAACCAGCCCTCGGCCAGCTCTAATTACTGACACATTAAGATATATGGTACACGGATTATCACAGGATTCAAATACCAAAGAAACAACACTTCACAAATAGAAGGATAAGAACCCTCAGAAGTAGGGCTTTTCAGTTCGGGTGAATCGGGCCCAAAGGATTGTTTTACTTCGTCAAATCTAATGAATGTTGCTTCTCAATTTCACGTTTTAAGGAACTCTATCAAATATATCATGATGCAAATTGGGTCCAATGGACCCAGTTTGAACAGCCCTACTCAGAAGTGAGGAACAATTTTACTCTCCAACTAAATATAAAAGATTGAATTATCAGCATTTAGGATAACAGATGGTCAAAAATCAACAACACTTGAAAATCTTTTTTTCCTTGCTGAAGACAATGCTTCTTTTGTACAATTGCAAGCCTATTTGCTACACAGGATCACCGTGCAACCTGACATCTTGTTATGCAGTGAATTGTGGCTTTCATAAAAGGCAAGAATCAGAATATGCCCCAAATCTGCTAAAGCCATATTAACCCCAGTGATACAGTAACAACTAATGTTTGAAGTTATTCTTGGTATTTATATTTAAATTGCATCAACGAAAGGATAACTACAAAGAAAAGGAACAATCAACGGATGTGAATATAGAAGAAACAAGCTAAGTTATTAAGCTTAACTTTTCAAATAATTTAGGGATTGCCTCTCAAAAATTTTACTTTTGGCATTAAAGAACTCCTATAAGTGAATAGAAAACCAAAAACTTTAGGCCACGGTTACTACAAAATAAGGAATGAAATAGAGAATGGATTATAGAATAGAATGAAATGGAATGGAATGAAATGGAATGGGAAAAAGAATTCCTATTCCTGTCTTTAGCATGCATCATGGAATAGGGATTCAAATTACATTCATGTGTTTGTTTGATAGGAATAATAGACGGAATAGAATGGGGAATCAGTAAAAAGACCAAAATGCTCATATCAATAAATTTATTATAAATTATTTTATTCAATTAATTATTTTATTAAACAAGGCTTTTCCTTTAAGATAACCATATGATTAGCTTCAATATTTGTAGATAGTGAGAATGAAAATTGTTTCTCAATCTATAATTTTTCTTCCTAATAAATTTTTCAAAAAAGTATAACATTCATGCGACAGAAATATCTTGGCAAAATGAACAGAGAAAAATTCGTTAGTTTAATTCAAGGGCATAAATGGTATTTTATAGAAAACAATCCAATAAACAACATTCAATTTGAGGCATATTTGGTATTTTATAAAAAATTCATCCAACAAAACAGCATTAAAAGCAAGGGCATATATGGTATTCTGTAACAAACTAAAGAATTTGTGGTCAGAATCCATATTACATACTTCCAAAACCTATTACCTATTACACAACTTGCTATTGAACAAGGGAATAAGGAATAGAAATTACATTCCCATTCCTATTCAGCGTACTAAACACGCTTTTAGTGTTATGCGATAAAAGTTTAAGAGTTGATGATTTTTCTCGCTTGTTATTAATTACTTTTGTGTGGCTGTAAACATAAGAGGAAAGGTTTAATATAAAATAATATGATTTGGAAAATTTTTTTCCCAACTTAAAATTGAAACAATTTCCAAATATGATGTGAGTGTCATTAGGAACCAAGCTTCTTCACTATAATTGCCATTTCAATCAGCAGTTTTAGTATAAAATTTAAAAATTTTCTTTATGCTTTGCACCATGCTATAAAAGCTATAACTTTTGCAGCCTTCAGAAAAAAAAAAAAAAAAAAAAAAAAAAAAAAAAGCCTTCAGAAAAAAAAAAAAAAAAAAAAAAAAAAAAAAACTAATTTTTTTCATAATTTGCACGAAATTGCAAATTAAATTGGATGTATTAGACATTTTGGAAATTAAATTTGGAGGGTTTATGGAAATTGATGCAAGAAAAAAAAAAAAAAAAAAAAAAAAAAAAAAAACATAATTTTTTCATAATTTGCACCGAAATTGCAAATTAAATTGGATGTTTAGAATTTTGCAAATTAAATTGGAGGTTTTGAATTTGATGCAAAGTATAATATTTTTGTTTAAAAGCTGCAAATGATGCAGCTATAAAGCATGCCTTAAAACTGCCAATTGAATTGATAGTTTTGGTGCAAAGTATAAAAAAAGTTTTCCTTTTTTTGTCCTTCTTCCATAATTGTTCGCAGATTTCATCTCTAAAACCTTTTATACTGAAACCACCATTTCATGCAAAAATTTACTTCCCCGAAGCACTCACATCATATTTGGAAATAGTATTGAATTTACATCAATATGAGAAATAATTTTCCAAATTAGATTATTTTGTGATAATCCCAAGAAGGAGAAGGTAAGATAATAGTGAAAATAACTTTTATATTTGAAGAACACATAAGATTGTAATTGAATGCCAAGTTAATTGGAAAACTTCTAAAAGTAAAATATTAAAAGCATTACAACTGTATGTAGGCACAAAATAAATCGAGGCCTAATGCATAATTTTACCCTTGAACTATCGTCGTTTCTCCTAGTGATCCGCTAAACTTTGCAGGGTTCTATCATGTGACCTTATACTAACAAATCCTTCAGTAACCATACCCCTCGCCACATAAATTAAGGAAAGCATGCATTCAATTACATTTTGCAAAGTGAACATTGATTTTGTTTGTTACGTGTATGTCCAACGTGGCTTCTCAATGTTGTTAGGTCACAAACTCTTTATGAGATATGAGCCTTGTATATAAACCCTCAAAGCCCAAAGGAGGTTGACGTCAAGAATAGCAACGACAAGCCACTTAGAGTAGGAGCAGGACTGACTGACGAATAAGACGTTTAACCTGAGGGTGGAGATTTCAACAAGGCCAAAGATGATGGCTTCGCCATGTTCTAACCAAGAATCCATCTAAAACCTAGCAATTGGACAGAAACGCTTCAAAAAGTCTTCTTCCTCATTCATTTTTGCCAACTCAGTCCCATCTCTCTACCACCACAACATCTCCTCAGCTTACTCTATCGATCAACAACCGAGCCCGACATTATGAGTCATCTGGTCTTTGACTCTAACTCTCCCATTGCTTCTAAGTTTGCCTCGCCCAGTTCTACAGTGCTCTTTGTGAACAGTGAAAAAAAGGGAATTGACAAATGATCTCCGGACACAATCGAGCTTTTTTGGCAACAAAACTGGGATCAACATCACTAATTTATTTTGCCATAAATCTTAAACAAAATTCCTTTAACAAAAATAGAGATTCTTCGTGGATTAACATCATTTTTATGTTTATTATTTTTATCAAGTCAACATTTTGTCAAATTCATTTTTATTTATTTATTTATATTCAATCAACATTTTTCCCATACATAGGATATCACATGTTATCATTCAATTCACGTCATCGCACATGTGTTTCACCTCTTTTTTACATTTTGGTGAGGCACATGGGTACTGAAGGATTTGTTAGTACAAGATCACGATAGAACCCCTGTAAAGTTTAGGGGGCTATTAGGAAAAATAGTTGTAGTTCAGGGCAAATTTATGCATTAAGCCAATAAACCGATGACCAATTTAGGCAAAACTAACATTTGGACCGACAAATATACAAACAAATATTGAGATAACGTAATTGTTAAAAAGATTATGAGAAAAAGAATTGAATATCTATGGAACAACTTTTGTATTTTTAAAAAAGTATTTGATTTAAATTAATAATCCTATCTTTAAATGTGTAATCAACAATCTATACACATACATATTTGTTTATACATAGTTTTAATTTATCTAACCTGGTTTTATTTATTGATTCTTCTATCATTTATCTTAAAAGATTTTTAAAATTTTTAAATTTATTCATCAATAGTAGTTAGATTTGACACACCAAGATTAAATAGAAACAAAAAACTCTAATAGATTTTAATATATTAAATGTGTATTGTTAGACGCCGACTTCAAATTAAAAAATAAAAAATTATTCTCCAATTTACTGTTGGATTTTATTTTTTAAAAGCTTTTACTTGTGTTTTGTAGGCTCCATGATTACATTGAATTTGTTGATTGTTCGTTTGGTTATATGGAAAAGCTTGAAATGATGTTCTTGAACTTCATAGCTAACTTTTTTGAGACACATAGAGTACCATCCATGCCACACCAAAATCAAAGAAGCTTGGTCATTATAGGGAAGCCAAAATCACTGTTCCCATGAATAGTGATTTTGACATGAGTTTAAGTATGTAAAGATAATGTCAACCAATGTCATTTTTCATCATGTTTATCTTGTTCTTCCTATGAACTTAAATAAAAAATCTTTTACAAATAAAGATAAGCAGGAAATATGGGAGAGATATTAAGGAATTTTAACCTGTTCCATTGTTCTGCTTCGTTGTTGCAAAGGTTGCTTGGTTCCCTGCAGGAAAATAAAGGAAAAGAAAGAGAGAGAGAGAGAGAGAGACAAAAAATATTAGAGTTGACTGGTATTGTTACATAAAAGATTCAAATGTCAAGAGCTGCACAAGCAGAACATAACTAAACTCATTTTTACGCAATTTCTACCGAATGGCAAAAAAAGAATAATTGTATAGTCAAGGCTTGGAGAGTACTCTAATATGATTGCCAAAAAAGGTAGACGGGATCGTCAACTACAAGGAAATGCATAAGACTACATGTATCTCATTGCTCTACTTTCCTCAATAATGTATTATTGTTCAATAAGCTCATGCATATCCAAACCAACTCAAAATGGTAATAGCCAAGATTTCAAACTAGCAACATGCCAAATTTACATCCAATCAATTGATACATTTCCATTATTATTATTATTATCATTTACTACTCAAAATGTACATCCTTTTGGGAAATGTATTCCACCTTGGATCATAATAAATAACTAAAAGACATAATTCAATTGGTATTGGACCTAGCTTAAGCCAATTAGCTTTATGTAAGATGGATTCCAATGCCTACCCGCTTATAAGTCGATGTATGGGCCGTGTATTCTAAGATATCTAAATGGGATTCACTAGTGTTGATGAAAGGGAAGAATTTAGGGCAACTAACTCTCAACAATTAGGATAGAATAGGTTTATTGTGGTTGGAACAGGATAAGATATTTGGTTTTAAAGAAAAACCTTGCAATCAAAATTATGAGTTCTAGGAAATAACAGAGTACATAAGCTAATAGTTGTTGTCCTATTTATACTAGTTAAGACAAATCCTAATTCTAGACTAAAAAGTAATTAGCTAATAACTTCTAGATTGCAAAGTATGCTTATAAACTAATCCTAAATAAAGATGGAAAACTGAAAGTTATTTCTAATTAATTAACATCTCTTATTTAATTAGGAATCCTAAATATATTAAAAAATTCCTGGATTCTCCCGCATCATTCTCCTCAATTTCAAATGAAACTCAGCTACGATGAGTCTTGACATATTCCTCATATATGTCTAGATCAATTCGCTTAAGCTCTTCTTTAGAAATCAATGTGCTTTAAGCTGTTGGTTTAGTAAGCCACTTCACCAAGAATCTTCTATGTCGGTTGCCTCATCTAAATCAAACTTCCTTGACATCTAACATATCTTTAATAATATCAGCTTTTGCAACTGGCAGTTGCTGTATTTGATATTTAAACACCATCAAATCCATTAAAATGCAAGTCTGGAGTATTGAAGACTGGACTAATTTGCAATTCAGGTGGTAGCTCAATTAAGTAGGCATATGAACTAATTTTCTTTAATACTTCACAAAATCCAAATTTCCTAGATTTCAACCTATGATAAGTACCTTTAGGAAATCGTGCACAAGTACTTGAGGTTTACAGAAAATACTACGCCACCTCCGATCCTCCTTTTTGTCTTTGTTTGTTGTTTCTATTACCCTTCGCACCACTAAAGACTCACCTTGAGCAGGATGGATATCAAATTCTTCTATCTCCTCACCATATTCATCAAAAACTGGATCTAACTCTTCCTCAAACTCTGCTGAATTCACCCTCCTTTTATGGACAAGAAAATAAAACATGCCTTTTTCTCCATAAGTACAGCATCAAACCTGAAAATTGCTGCCTCCTTTAGTTGCAGCTGAACCGGCATTATTTTGTCCACCACAAGGTATAATACTTTTCCCTTTTTTGTTTATTTCAACATTGGTTGCACCCCCAAAATTTTATTTGTTGCAGTAGCTGCTTTCCAATTTATTTGGCTTGTTTGATGCTCAAGTCCAACTCCCAAATTGCTTTGCCAATTGGTTCTATACGTAGGTTTTGTAGTACAATAACGAAGAATTCGCTTTTTCAGCCACTAAAGCATGATGTCAAGCCTCCTCAATAGTATGTAACGGACTACTCCCATCTAGTCTCTAATACACTGATTTAAACCAGTTAGATAACAAGAAGTAATTTGTTGGTGACTTTCAGATAAACCAACTTGAATTGGTAAATTATTAAACTTAGCAGTGTACTCAAATTGGATATGTTATTTTGCTTCAAATAGTGGAACTTTTCAAACAGTTCTATCGCATAATCAGCAAGTAAAAATTGCTCCGATAGCTTAGTTTTCATGTGCTCCCAAGTGCTGATTTTGAGCTTGCCTAGTCATGTACATTGCTCTTCAACTCTCTTCCACCAATGAACTGCAGTACCATTCAATTTAAGCTTTACAAATAAAACCTTTCAATTTTCAGCCTTGGGTTTCCATTCGAAGTAGTTCTCTAGACTAGCTTCCCAATCTAAGTGATCCTCCGCATGCAATTTTCCATGAAATTCAGCTACTTCAATCTTCATGTTGAAATATTTCCGTAATTATTGTAGAATCATAGACTTAGAATCTGAGACTTCCCTATTTATTAGCTAGTTTCCTATTCTAAGATGTTTTTTGTATATAAATTAGCTATCATAGAGATTTTAAATATACACAAGAAATATACTTAGAATCTCTTCTCTCCAACATGGTATCAGAGCCCAGTCGTCTACCATCGGCATAGGTTAGAAAAACCAGCATTAGAAAAACCCTAGGTTAGAGTCAAGCTACTACCAACAGCCTACAGGAGGCAAGTGAAGTGTCACCGCCCGGCTCAGATGAACGCCCAGCCACCGATTGGCCTGTCCCCGAAAAATCACCACCACCAATGAGGCGCATAGCTCCATGCACCGCCGCAAAAATCTGCAGCTCAGCTACGCGTGACACAGAGTCCAGCCACTTTTTTTTACTGCGATTTGTTCCGACAATCCTCTCTTGGTGTTGCGCCTCTGACTAACCTAGTTCTTTATTCTGACCCTTACTTAAGTTTCGCAACTTTTGTTTTTTGGGGCTACTGTCTATCTTTTCTGGCTGCTATTTATAGTATTTCTGCTGATCACTTCAACTTGTTTTGAATATGGGTGATGGAGGAAAAATTAAAACTGAGAAAAAAATGGTTTGTCCCACTGATAATCTCATATCAAATTAGTCCCATAAAACTAGATGGAACGAATTATATTGCTTGGTCCTGATCCTGTTAACTATTCATTGAGGCTAGAGGTTTGCAGGGTTATCTTGATGATGGAAATTAAAAACCAAATTTGACAGATTCAGGTTTCAACAAATGGAAATCTGAAAGTTCTTTTATTATGTCTTGGTTGATAAACTCAATGCAACCAGTTATTGCGCATAGTTATTTGCTTCTTGACACTGCAAAAAAGATATGGGATGCAACTTCACAAACATATTCTCAATTTGAAAACTATGCCCAAATATATGAATTATAGAAAAAGGTTGATGAGACTAAGCAAGGAGATCCAACGATTGCTCAGTATTTTTCGGAACTCAGTAGGCTATGCCAAGAGCTAGATCATTACCAAAATTTCAAAGCAAAATGTTCCGTTGATGCAGCTGAATTTCAGAGACTGATTGATATAGAACGTATGTATGATTTTCTGGCAGGCCTGAATGACGAATATGACCATTCCAGAGTCCAAGTTCTTGGACGAGATCCTTTCACACCCTTGAGACAAGCATACTCATATGTGCAACAAGAGGAGTGCAGAAGAAATGTCATGATTCACAAATATACAGTTGAAAGCAGGGTTGCTTGCTAATTCTACAAGGGAACAAATACGGGCTGCTAAAATTGGTCCATCAGATAAGTATCAACTACAGTGTGATTACTGTGGTAAGACCAAGCATATTAAAGAATATTGCTGGAGATTACATAGACATCCAACTAAGGGGCGTGGGAGGAAACGTGGTAGTTCTTCTAGAACACTAGCCCATATCTCGGATAGGGGAACACTATCTGAAGAACCATCTCCTCCTAGTACCTTTTTTGATAAGGAAATTCAGTCCTTGAAAGTTTATTGTTACAGCTTGATTCTTCTCCAACTGAGGCAGCAGCTTCTAATTTTTTAATTCAGGTAATGCTTTGCTCACTTTTCTTGCCAAAATTGCAAAACCTTCGTGAGTTATAGATTTGAAAGCAAACAGACATACAACGGGCTCTTCCAAGCATTTTCTCACATACTCCAAATGTCATGGTACAGATAAAATCCATATTGTGGATGATTCCTTAGTACATATTGCTGGCATGGGTTCTATTAACTATAATCCTAACATTAGTGTTTCCTTTGTTCTTCATGTTCCTCAATTTCCTATTAATTTCTTGTCGATAGTTTAATCACAAAAGCACTTAATTGCAAAGTAATCTTTCATTCTACTCATCGTATATTTCAGGAACTGAACACAGGAGAACGATTGGCAGTGGTAGCTTGTGAAATGGATTGTATCTGTTGGATGATGTTTGTTGTTTTTCAAATTCAGGTATCAATCAGGCTTTGCTAGGAGTATCTAAGAACCTTTCCCATGAGATTATTCAATGGCATAGGAGATCAGGATATCTCTCTTTTTCTGTCTTAGAACACTTATATCAGACAGTGTGATTTTGATTTATTAGTTTGTAATGCTTGTGAACTTGTCAAACACACGGCGTCCTTACTTTTCGATTAATAATAACAATTTGGTACTTTTTGCTACTATTCACTCTGATATTCGGGGTCCTTCTAAAACTCTCTCTTTCTCGTTATAGATGGTTTGTGACTTTTATTGATTGTTGCATAAGAGTGACTTGGGTTTATTTGATGAAAGCAAAACATGAAGTTTTTTTCGTGTTTCTAAAACTTTCATAAAATGATTTGACCCAGTTTGATGCACATGTTAAAATCCTGAGAACTAATAAATTGTACAGAATACATGAATAATATTTTTTGTACCTGTTTAAATTCCAATGGTATCTTACATCAAACGAGTTGTGTCAATACAAGTGCTCAAAATGGAGTAGTTGAAAGAAGCATTTACTGAAAGTAGCTAGATCTCTTATGTTTACTATGAATCTTCTCAAACCCTATTGGGGTGATTTATCTTGTCTGCTGCTTATCTT